CTTTTTCTCATTTGTCTTTCCCCTGGACAATAACCCATTCTCTATTTTTAATTCTCCTTACTTTTATCATGTGATTTCTTTTATTATTATCTCATTCCCTCTATCGCTCCTCCTCTAGCTTTTTTCTCCTTTGACTTTGTGGCTGCCGTGCATACTTAAGACATGCTGTCATTAACTGCTGAAGAGTGAAATTGGTTTAGTCGTAAAGGGGAGGATAGCTCATTTAGAGAAAAAGACATTTAATGTGTATGAAACATTAAATGAAGCATGATGAAAATGAGAAACAGGGGGAGGAGAGGAGGATAAAGGATAAAGGTGCAGTAAACCATGACTCCTTGACATCCTATTAATATCTAAAGAAGTTAAATAACATCTTTTTATAGCTTCAAATCACAAGTTTGCCCTGCAGGACTTTTCTTAGACTTGGTTCAGATGAGGGCAAAAACATTCAACCAGTCTGAATCTGAAGGCTTGGTGTTACACCCTGAGGCCCCTTGACTGACACATTGAAAACGTATTAAAACTCTGTCAACAGAACGCTACAAGCAAGATTAAAGCAATGTCACACAACCAGTTTCCACACTGCTCTGGATGCATATATGCAGAGCTGTGGGGCTCATGCATGTACAGCAGATATCAGCATGCCTCGTTTTGTGGGACCTCCACCGATTTTTTCGATGTCTGGTAGTGATCAGACGGCTCTCCTGGTGTTCTGCCTCTCTCTCCTGCATCTTCTCTTACACTGCAGGTGTCTTTTATTGAGCCAGCGGTGATTTACTGTACTCTTGTTTTTCTCCTCGCTCCTGCAATCAGGCACCGTGTTAGTGACAGGTTAAAGCTGGAGGTCAGAACATTTCACGTACGTGCACGCACTTACAGCGGAGAGCAGAGTGCGTTTCTAATAGGAGGTCATTATCAGAGAGGTTTGGCTTTTAGAGGGAGGCCAAACAACAGGAGAGCTCGGAGCTTTCTTTTTCTTTTTTTCTTTTTTTTTTACAAGGTGAGAGGTTTGTGGAGGCTCTGTGGGCAAAACTCAAGTCTGAGGGTGTAATAGTATACAGTAGGCACATAGATGACTAATCAGAAACACATTTACGCTATGTTACCCTGCTTCCTTTCTGTGTCTCTGCTGGAAATGGCAATAATAAAAATCTTTATAACATCATTGAAAGTAATAAAGACAGAATTACTCTTATCATTTATATTTATATGTGTGAGTTTGAGAGTGACGTTTGAAGACTCTTAGCCAAATGTTTGACAGATATATGTAAGTTGGGACTTTAACTAAATACTTTAAATATGTGATTTAAATGTAGCTTAACCTCATTAAATCAAGTGAATTTCACTGGAGTCAGAAGCTGCAGGGACGGAAGCTACTGCTACTCTGCTAAGCTAGGCTACTTAGCTGTTAGCAGGACTAGTTTAACTGGTGTTACGATTCGTCCATTATGATTAGATTTAGCTACTGTCTCATGCATGTGGCTTAAAAACCCCAATAAGTAAGATGTTGGAGCTTCAAATTTTATTTCACAATTACAGGAAAGAAAGTAACTTTGCTTTAGCTAAGGCTAACTCACCAGCTAGCCTTAACTAGCCACACTTCAGGGTTTACGTCTGTGTTTTTTGCAGTTAAGATTCTGTTTTTCCCCCAAAGAAATTCACAGATTTCTTTGCCATAATAGTTTTCATGTTGTAAGATGTTCAAATATCTGATTCAGGTCTTCACTCAGTTTTGAGTTGACTGTGTTTTGGCTTTAGGGCTGTATAGTCATAACGATAATATCAGATGATGGTTGTAAGGTGAAGGTCTGAATGCTGACAATAACATATATAAAAACTCTCAGAATATCCCTGCTGTAGAACATGTACGCCTGTTTAGTGTACATTATATTGAGTGAGCTGACTTCCTCTTGTGCTGGCAGCCTCTGTACTTTTACCTCATAAATATCCCCAAAACGAAATCCATCCATCCTCTCCAAGCACTTAAACAGTATTTGGAGAAGCAATTCACAACAGCAGAATAAACTCTGGGAATAGAAGCTCGCTCTGGCTTTATGGGTTTTACTTGCTTCAGGAGGGCTTACCCACTTAACTAACTGTGAACAACAACTGGAGCGCAGAGGACCAACAATGTAAATGGAAGGTGACAAGAACTCCGCTCTCCCTGCTGCAGACATGCAGCCTGACAAACCGAAGGCTTTAATCAGCCAAACAAGGAAGAAACACATGTTCACCTTTCTAAACACACACAGAAACACGCACATGCATTGTTGGATGTGAAACTGTACATACACACACCATCAGTAGGCTTGTGTCAGTCTGGAGCTCTTCAGGACCAGTGTCCCGCTCCTTCTTTTAATCCTCTCTCCACCCCTCCTCGACTCCCCCACCCACCTCATCCCCTGAAAAGGCTGGAGGCGTCGGGCTGTAAACAGCTCCAGAGTGCCGCGGTGAAATGAACCAGCAGATAGGCCCTTGTAGACTCCTCGCTTGCTGATCTGAAAGGGACTAAACACTCCCAGCTGTTGCATTAGTGACTGAGAATGGCACCTCTCCTGAGACCCAGCACTGATCTGTAGCCCTCTGTCCCTCCTCACACTCCTCTTAGGTTTTAAGTCAGCTCTGAGACAAGGAGTCAGCACAGTTTGGTTTTAGGTTGCAGCAGTGGTGAGTCTGTCTGTCTGTCTGTCTGAATTATGCTCAGTTTGTCTCTCCTCGTCTCCTCTCCCCCCTCTCGGCGTCTGTAACTTCACTTTCCCTCGACTGGATCGCTACAGCTGGAACATGCAGGATTGCATAAATGCATCAACAGGTCTTATCGTGACCTGTGATCCTGAACGTTTTGTCAGTCTTCCATCTCATTGCGCAGACAGAACTGCTGGGCTTGTTTTTGACTTTTAAATAAACATGGTACACTACATATCGGTGAGATCTACGAACACATGAACAGTACACGCTCGAATACGTCGCTATGGGCGTACAGCATTGCTGTAGTTCAGTGCCAAGGTTATACAAAGCCTCCTGGAGATGATAGATGTGGCTTCAAACATGTTGGAGGTGTCTGTAGGGAGAAGGCCGTTTCACCTCACTAACTAAAAGTGAAAGAGGGAATAAAAAGGGGCAGAAATGACAGAGCGTACAAACCACAAAGTTGTGACACTTTAAAAGAGGCATGGTTAAATTGGGATGTATGCACTGATTTGCTGTCTGTTAGACTTTGCAGCAGGCTGCTAAGCAGCAACAGCAAAATCTCAATTACTTACTAGTTTTTTACCTCGACTTTGGAACAGCCAGAATTCTCCAGAGCCTCCTCCCAGTCATCAGAAGCCCCTACAGCTCTTACAATACAATGGATCAACAGCAGTTTGGATTATCGTTTAAGTCAGTTATCAAGCAAAATGAACAAACATTTGCTGGCTCCAGCCTTTCGAGTTTGAGGATTTGCTATTTCACTCTGTTTTGGATCATTATAGATTTAATATACATGGACAAGAAGTCCAATTGAAAATCTGCAAATCCACGACAACCGGGCAAAATCCATTCTCTGAGAAAGATCCTGTGATACGATGGGATGGGATCAGCGACTAATGGGCCTTGACTTATTTTTTTTTCAACTGCTATTTCCAAGATAAATGATTAACTTCCATTCTCACTGTCATACATGTATTTGATCTTTGAATCAATAGTAATTTGAAGATGTTCTTCTGTGCTCTGAGAAATTGTGATGGGCGTTTTTTCTGGGCCCCCACAAAAGCTAAAATCTTAGCTTTTTTTTCCTCTGAATTACTTGGTCCTGTTACTTCTTCAGACGTGTAAAAAGTTTTCAAATTAAGGACAAAAAAACACTCTTTGGTCACAATCATAAACAAGGGGGCACAAGTAAACACCCCTTTGTTTAGAGGAATCACCAGCCAAAATGGTTGGGAACCTTTGGACTGAACGATTCATCGAAAGATAATCAAGAGATTACAGGACAAATTCTGATTTTCTTCAAACCAGTCTTACTAATGACATAGCCACGAGTATATTAAAAAAAATTGTTGTAATCATTCCCATTCATTTCCCAAGTGCTACTGCAGTGGAAGAAATGGGGAGAAAATCCAGCCATTTTCTGTACAAAAAGGAAGCTGTTTAGTACAGAAATTGGCGAGACACTGATTTGATTTCAGAGCTTAGTTCTGTGGTCTGTTGGATGGTCAGTTCAGCCTGAAATATCTCAACTACTGGATTGATTCCCATGAAATTTCGTACAGATGTCCATAGTACCCAGAGGATGTATCCTAATGACTTTTCCAAAAGAAAAAGCAGAACTGAAGCAGGATGGACGAGGAGCATGTTAAGTTCCTACCCCTGAGTACGTGGTGCTCTGACCTCCGCTGACTTTCACATTTAAAGGGCCCACAAAGGAACCTGATGACCTAATGCTATGGGCGCTCACTCCCTCAGCCAGCACAATCCTCCACCCTGCACGTACTATATATAAACATCTGCATCCGTGACACTTCTTATCACCTGTCCTGCATCTCCGTGGTTTTTGTCTGGGACCTCCGCGAAGTGCTCTCGCTATGCCTGGTTCCCCCTGCTTGTACCTCTGCCACAGGAATAACCCTGAAGAATGCCTTTGACAAGTATATCACAGATGCTGCCTTTTGTTGCTGGACTGGGGCTGTTTGCATGGATGTATGAACCGACAAGCCAACACTAGCCACACTAGCTGGCAGCAAACACTGGTCTTTTACTGAAGCAGCAACAAACATGCTGTCCTCATGCATTGAAGACGTGATTTATGTGACACGTCGGCTTGCTCAGGGGCCCGTGGGGCTGTTTTTTTTACAGTATCTGGACAATTGTGAATGTATAGACATCATATCACCCGCATGTTGTGCTTTTAGTTTATGTTACCCTTTTCAAAGGGAGTTCTGGGAGGAGAAAAGCTGACAGAGTGAAGGCTTGTTCTTGGTCTTACATTCCTCTCTCCCTCTTTTTCTCTTTCTCTCCAGGTGGGACCAGATGGAGGGTTCGGAGGAAGGATAGACAGGAGATTACCTCTGTAATGTCAGCAAGGGCCAAGGTTTGTCAGAAACAGACATCGTTGCCAAAAAATCACAGTGAAACTTTTCTCTTTCTCTGCTTTTTCTTCCTCTCATCTTCTGTCACTTCTACTCTCCACTCTCGCTCACTCCTCTTATTTGCCATCCATTTATCTGAAATCACCATCTCTACAAATAACCACCGGCCTTATCATTTTTCATTTAAACTGTACAGGCCACTATAAACCAGGGGATGACTTATGTGTAGGTATAAATTGTTAATGAAATCCATCCCCACAAGGCTCAGGCCTGAGCTTTCCATAAAACCATCTCAGCACTGAAGCTTTCATTACTAAATTATAAGCCAGTGGACAAAGCTTGATCCGGGACGGAAAGAGAGCGGAGTTATTTGACTTAAGTATTACTGAAGAGTAAGTGAGATCGCTTTTGATGAAATAGGCTTAAGACAGATCTTTGGAAGAGGTCTGTGGGGTTTGTGAGCTCTTATGAGTATTATCTCATTGTCTTTATTTGTTTTTATATGTGTAAAGCACTTTGTCAGTTTAGTTTTGTTATTAAGTACATGGTGACAATGAAAGAACCAATGTGGCATCAGGATTGTTACCATTTTAATATAAATATACAGAGGTAAGCTTCCCCCGAAGAAATGTAGGCCTGCGCCAAAATCTGTAGTATCAGTAGTTTAGTGGGTACAGTACATCATCCAAAATTTGTATAATTTTGGGAAATATGCGTGTTTGTTTTCTCACTGAGAGTTAGATGAGAAGCTTGATATCACCCTCACATCTGTACGCTAAATATGAAGCTACAGCCAGCAGCTGGTTAGCTTAGCTTAGAATAAAGCCTGAATACAAGGGGGGACAGTTATCCTGGTTCTGCTAGAAAATGCAAAATGAATAAATATGCTAAAACAATATTAAATATTAAATTGACTATTTAATTAAAGCTCTGCAGGACCTCTCAGTTACACGTTGTAAGTGTCTTTCAGCTCATTGTTTTGATTTTGTGGCCCACAGTTTTACTGTTTTGGTTCACTGTCACAGCTTCATCAGCATTATTTTCAGCCACAGCGGGCAGCTCTGATAAACCCACTGTACAGCAGCAGATAGCAAGCAGACATAGTTAGCAGTAACTACTGAACCGTTTTAGCATGGAAAACCAAAACGGAGCTAAAAGAAAGGTGAATATTGGATTTACATTTGCCAGGTGAACAGAAACACAACTCTGTATCTGCTGGTTTGCCATATCAACTTTATAGGATGACGGTATGTCACTGTCATGTTTACAGCTTGTTGCTCTTACCAAAACACACACACACACAGGCTTTTTCCAATAGAGCAGATCTCCATGATCTGACTGTCACATCAAACTGCTTTATGAATTATGACCCATTTTGCAATAATCCACCCAAACCTGGGTAAGGGATTAGCCCAGACTTGCTTTATTTTATTTTTCTAATGCTAGTAGTTGATGATTTCATCAGGTTTGACATTGTGAAATAATATACATGTGTATTGAGCTAAGGAACTAACATTAGTATTACTAGTATGCAACAAACCAGGCCGTTACAAGCTGTAACTTGCAAATTTCCTGAGCCCAGTGACAACAGGCTCATTAAGTGTCACACAGAGATAGAAAACCTTGAAGTCAACATAGTACAAATATGAAATAAAACCAGTGAATGTGAAAACATTATTAAATGATGAAGGAGTAATATAACATATTTTATATATACAGTATATATATCTGCAATGAATATTAGCACTTTTCCATAAAAGGAAAGGAATAGCTCCAAAGCTATATTTAGCAAGATCTGTGGCACTCAGTTTTTTTTTGCAGGACTAAATAACTTCTAGACTTGATAGAACTATATTAATACTACACAGAAATAAACTTGCATTTAAAATTCTTCATTTGGGTAAAAAAATATAGCCTATATTTATATTTGTTTTGATTAATTTGATGGCTGTAAAACATTCAGCAACATCTTTTTTACATGAACACACTTTGCAAATGATCCTTGTTTCTTGAATGTTTAGTACAAATTTTAATCCAAGCCAGTGAATAATAAGCGATTGAGGTTTCGAATACACATATAAGAATCACAAAAATGATGACATTTAGCCCCAAGGGCCAAACTTTAAAAAGTCATGGCTAGAGAAGTGTTTGAGGTAGAGCTATAGGATTTTGCAAGGTCTTGGGAAATGAATAGGAGTCCTAGGTGAGTTGGTAATGGGAATGACCCTTAAATAAATCCCCCAGATTTCTCTCTGCCAGCTCACACGTGTCATCTGTGTCCCCCTAGGTGCTGCTCTGGGTGCTCCTCTCTCTGCTGCCTCTAGCGGAAGGAGCTCATGTGAAGGCTGGTGCTGCTGGTGTGGGATCAGACTCAGGCCACGCTGTGGGCCTGCTGGGAGGCCAGGAGGAGCGAGAGCTTCCTGTGACGTTGCCAGAGGTGGTGGAGGACGAGGAGCAGGAAGACGACAGCGACCCTTACTCTACTTGGCATGCTCTATATGGTACTGAAGCTCTTATGAAAGAGTAATTTACAGCACGTCTGCTTCACCAGGCATAATACCAGGCAGTATGAGAGTGCAAAGAGGGCATGTGGCTGGGGATCCACTTTGCATCTCATTCATTTAAATATATTTAAATGTCATTTAAAAGGTGACAAGTTATTTTAAGTTAAAGGTTGGAGTGAAATTGAAGATTCTGCAGGAGAATTTAAATGTTGCTGCTTACAGTTACTCTGAAAAAATGCTGATGTTCACAGCAACTCTCTCTGTTTACCACTCCTCTTTCTTCTCCATTTCAGACCCGTTTGTAATGGACGAGGTGGATGACCATCCCAGTAGTCGCTGGGCGGGGCGCTCTCCGCGCTCCTCTGACCCCACGGAACCTCAACCCAAGGGATCACAGAAGAAAAAGAAGAAGAGGAAGAGGAAAGAAAAGGAGGAAGAGGAAGAGACAGGAAAAAGAGATAAAAAGGGTAAAGGTAAAAACAGGCGGCCAAAGCAGAGCAGCAGGGACTGCCGTGTAGAGAAGAGAGAGATGAGGGTTCGGGACCTGGGCCTGGGGTTTGACTCGGATGAGATTGTCCTCTTTAAGTTTTGCGTGGGCTCCTGCCAGTCTTCAAGAACAAATTACGACCTGGCGCTGAAGACGCTGCTGGAAAATGGGTCGCTGCCTCGGCGCAAGGTCAGCAGCCACCCCTGCTGCCGGCCCGACCGGTACGAGTCGGTTTCCTTCATGGACGCCCAGACCACGTGGAGGACCATCCAGTCATTATCTGCCGCCAGCTGCATGTGTATGGGCTGAAGAGATGAGCGAGGGAGAGGGTGGTGAGAGCGGGTGTCACCCATCCTGAAGAGAGAGGAGTTGGGAGGCCTGGATGTAGGAAACAGCCAGAGGGGGGCGCTGTCATATACACAGAGCAGAGGAAGGGATGAAGGCCACTTTTTGGCTTCCTGTGGTGCAGTTCCAGTCGAGGAGGAAGAGGTCTGGGTGCAGCTGGACGATAGGAAGCGAAGGTCAAAGTCAGAGACTGAGGGGGAGGTCATCAGGGAATCACAGTCTGGATTTACAGTTGCATCATCAAAAGGATGAATTGTTTCCAAATGAATAACTGGCAACTAATGCAGGATACAGCCGAGCAGTTATTAGTCATAGAGGAGACTCTTTATGTGAACGTGACTGTTTTGATTTGACATGGGCGAGACCTGAAGGCTGGAGCTCAACAGATAGACACAAAAGAAAAGACACAGTTAAAGGACTGACGCTGTGTTTATACTCTGATTCCAACTAAAGAGACTCGTATGATGTTCACTGTTACTCACGGTGAAGCCAGCTCCTAACAGAAGTTCAAGATCATTGTTTTCACACACAGACAAACAGGGACATTACATCGTATCATTTCTATGTTCAGGTGAACTCAGCCAAATGGATGCCATGCATCTTCATGTATTACTGTATAAAAGTAAAATATATTTATTTCTGATAAATTATTTATTTATTATAGCTTCATATGAGAGCTGTTTTTATGAACTATATATTGTAGATAAATATCTATTTATTGCCAGATTCAGATTTCATGTTGGCAGTTACTTCTGCTCGCATACAGTACATTCATTTTGTTTTTTTAAAGGTGCTGATTTTTCACATTTATTAAACGCCTCAAGAACCTGATCTGATCAGCTGATTCTATCGCTTGGATGCAATTTACATTTCTGAAATTAGTTGAGTGATTTTTATAAATCAGCGACATTATCCAGAAGCAAGGATATTCCCTTACATTTCATCCCAGGGAGACAATTTAAAAATCGTTATAACTGACATCAGAAACAAATTGACCCACATACTTGAGAGCTAGTTTTGTGGTGCACTCTGGGTAATGATATCAGCTTTTCCACAGCATAAAGGAAATTCAGTTTTACATGTAGAATGTATGTACAGCAAACAAGTGAAACATTTATACTACAGGACCTCAACATTTCTCTTTTTAAACTGGTCGAGTAATTAAATTCTGTATGTCTCATTATTATTATTATTATTATTATTATTATTATAAAGCTTCTTTTATTTTTGTATGGTATTATCCTCTAAGGGAATAAAGTTTTTTTTAAATATACATCTTGTTATTCCTGGTTACTTGCACAGATTCAAACTGACTTCAGACTGACTTTTTCCAAGTGACATCCACAATGATTTTTGCTGTGAACAGTACCAACATCACACCTTTTCCCAGTTCAATTTACGCAGCACTTTTTATGTTGTAGCGCCACCTGCTGGTTTACAATAAACAGCAAAATTTGATCCTGTGGTCCCGGGTTTGAGCTGAGGGAGGAGAAGCTCTCCTGCCACCAGTCTGTCAGCTGAGAATGGTTTCTATAAAAATAGTTTGATTCTTCTTCGACCAACAGAGCAGGTAAAACTCATCTTCACTGTCACTTTATTTCTCTGCACAGACCCACCAACACATCCAGCACGTACCACAGGTCATATAGCTTACAGCTATAACATATATATGTGTTTTTCTTTTTTTAAAAGGTGATATGTTCGTTTTGGCTGTTTACAACTGCAAATATCAAAACATTACATGTAAATGTGAAATATAAAACAAGATCATTTAGGTCCAAAAGGTCTACATTCAGTTTTCCCTGCATCATGCAACACTGTTAAATGGCACAGAGTAAATTAGCAGCATGTACATTAAAGTATGAAATGCAACAACACATAATGAATGGTCATGTATTGTGAATGGCACATATGGATTCATACAGTGTATCAAACTCTTAGAGTGTCACACATTTGTACCCATGGGGTATGATGATATTTAGCATAAACTTCCATCTTTGGAAATGGACTCCACAGCTTCATCTAGCATCTCTCAGCAGGAGTTAGATTCTTCTACAAAAGTGACCCTAAAACTACCACTACATACTGTGTATCTTTCAATATCCACCAAGTTTACTGCAAACATTCATACAAGTTATATGAACAATCAGCTTAAGCGGGTGGTTTTCTGGGCCTCATCTAAATGGACACATATTCTGGTTGATATGAAAAAGGTGTTGGAAATGTAAAACAGGACTGTCATATACATATATGTATAGCCTACTGCACAATCTGCTGTTGTGCTTGTAATGGAAATACATTTAAAACAAAGCCTTTCTGTTGCAGGCTAAATCATATAAGACAGATGTAGAGTTTATCGCTGGCAGCGTTGATGTTTCTCCTAGTTGAATTAAAACCAGTTTTCTGCGCAGCTGGAGCAGCTGGAGCAGCTGTCAGACTTTGAAATGTTTCTAAACTTGTGTCGGCAGATCAATGTCCATCAAAGGCATTTCGCTGACTGACAGGAGCTCGGTGTGCTGAACGTGCAGGTGACGATGTCCACTCTTCTAAGCAGCGGTGTTGGACTTCTTCCGGGAGACGACTTGGACGCCACCTCCTGTTTGGTGTCAGCTGCTACTTCCTCCTCACACCCGAGGATCGCGGTCGACTCGACGCTGAAGGGGTGAAAGTTGACCCGGGCGGTGTCGTACTCCCACGCTTGCCTCATCGCGAAGTCTGTAAAGGATTTATTTTTGATCGACACCTGGTGTTCCAAGTCGTTCCTGTAGCTGGCTGTGCGTAATGACGCGTAACTGGTGTCATTGCTCTGTAAAGACGGGGGGGAGTGTTGACCTCCTACCCAGCGAATGTTGTCCCTACGACCGTCCTTAACCTGTGCCACTGTCCTCTTCAGCCTCTCACAGCCCTTGAGCAGCAGGTTTTTCCGGCACAAAATGTACACCCAGGGGTCTAATATGGGGTTGAATGAAGCGAAGCGGATCGCCAACAGGTCACTCCGGTAGTCAGGCTTCCCCCCAGCAGAAATATAGGCAGGGTCATACAGCTGGTTGACGAAGATTCGCACCTGTCAGGTAGAAACACATGCACAGAGAATGTGTAAGACAAGTGTTTCACATAAAACAGACGTCAACAAGGAAAGTTAAAACACACATTTGGAATAGGGCAGCCTGTCGTCCTTACCACTAAAGGGATGGAGCAGACCAGGAACACGATGGTCATGAAGATCAGAAGCCAGAACATTTGGATCTCCGCCGCCGAGGTAACCGACGGCAAACGGGGGAAGAGGCGACGTGAACCGCCCTGCTCACACAACTCCGTCCTGACTATCCCTGTCCTCTGGTTCATCCCCACCAGCGACCTGCACACCGCCAAGTTACACAAAACTGTGACTGCGATCAGCACCAGCATCACGCCGCCATACAGGAAGGAGTAGCAGGCTCCGAGTGGATCCATCGCCCTCCAGTCCAGGAAGCACCAAGTCCCGGGAAAGTGCCTGACGTGCTGCCCGAAGCCAAAACTGGGCATGATGCACAATACGATGTTGGCGAGGTAGGTGACTAGCAGCGCAAAACGCGCCATTGTCCGGTCTATATGCTGGGAGTAGAAATACGCATGGTTTATGGCCAGGTATCGCTCCACGGCCATGGCGCACAGGATGGACATCCCCGCAGACCCGAAGAAGAGCATGGAGAAGGAGAAGAAGTGGCAGAGCAGCGCGCCTCCTGGCCAGCGACTGGCTACGTATGTGGCGATCACTACCGGGCTGGTGAAGCATGTGCCCAGCAGGTCTGTGATCGCCATCCCGCAGACCAGGGTGTAGAAAGTGGTTTCCTTCTGCTCCTTTTTGGAGATACACAGCACAACTATGGCAATCAGGTTCCCCAGGACTCCCACGGCGAACATCGTGGCTGAAGTGACCAGAGACTTGGAATCCAGCTGGAGCGCACTGCGGTTGTGGCTGAGAGAGAGAGCAGTCAGCGGCTCAGAGACATTCGCGTCCAGTTCTCCAAACGCAAGAGTGTCGTTGATCATTATTAAAAGCAACACTGCACGAGGCTTAAAGTGCATGAACTTTCTGTGGTGTTTAGAAGAACATATAGCGCTACTCAAAGTAAACCAACATTAATGTTCAAGTTACATCCTGAAATATCCTGTTTCCGACTGGGCATGAAGTGCACCACGTTGAAGTGATTCTTCTGTTCTGTGTTTCCAGCAGCGTGTTTGGCTCCCGACGCGCCCACATGAAGGTGTGTGCCTGGCTGTGTTTACACTGCTGAGTGCTGCGGGTTTTTAAGCTGTGTGCTGATGTCAGGACAGTGACGTGCGGGCTGTGAGCGCGGCGACCCAGGTTTCCCAGGAACACATTTCTGCAGCCAAAGTATCAATATTCAACACGGATTAGCCCCAGAGGTAAAATGCCAGCTCACTGTACCCAAGAGCCACATGCCAACATCTGGCATCATTTAGCACAACTTCAAAACCTAATTGTATCTGGTCTGACCAGCAAAGACACACGCACATTACAGAGAGTTTTAGTCTCAGAAGTTCCCCTCTTTCTTAAAATACAACCGTATGTTCTGCTAAAGTTGCTTTATGTTTGTCAGTGACCGACTGTGATAATGCCACAAGGAAGTGAAGGATTGATCGTACCTGAGGTTATAGTGTGGACAGATTCATTAGAAAAATCAAAATAATTTATGTCGCCATATATGTTCAAAAAATAAAGAAAGGGATGGAAATTGTACAGATGTTGTCATAAATCTCGCACTTCAGCACCGAGGTCAGCGCCGTCAATACCATCAGCACCATGAACAGAGACAGTGGACACGCTGCTGCGGAGTAAGGAGACCATAGTTTGGAAACACATGAAGTAATCCGTGAAAATGCAATCCATTCAGAAAGTACAACCTTTAAAACCGTACCATCCAAATCAGCAGCATCTGTCCCTGTTCCACCAAGTGGTTATTTCTCATGTGATTTCTGTTAAGAGTTGTGGTCATGTATTTATGATCTCATGTGAAATCAGAGCGCACACAGCCTGATGAAAACCAGAGTCCACACATTGCAGTGAAAAGGCTTCCACATAAAAAAAAAAACTAAAACATCAATCACCTCGACCTTAGAGCTCTACGTGCCTCCTTTGCAGAAAGGGACTCGTGGGGACAAACTGTCAGTGTCACTGATTAAATGTATTTATGGCTCCACAGCCTCCTCATCTGTATCTGTGGACTGGTTTTGACCTCCGGGTATTGTAACATGAATGCGTCCTTCTCTGAGACAACAAACAGTTATAAGCCCAAAGCTCAACATACCTGGAGTGCAATATTTGTGGAGAACATGTTTTTTTTATTTTATTTTGTTTTTTAAATTATTTTTTGTCAGGCTATTTTAAAGAAATCAGCCTCAAAATCATCGAGGGGGTTGAATTTAAAGGCTCCTTTTGAACTCAACCTTTAAAAAGTCTGTCGAGGCTTCTGTCTCTACAAAACATCCACCCACTGAACAGCGCTGATAGACTGAGACCTCTAATGAGGACAGGTCTAACACAGAGGTGTCAAGTGGTGCTGTGCTTTCTTTTCACCTTTCGAAGTGGGGCCAGACTCGGGGGGGGCTGCACTGAATTAGTCAAATAACGTAAACACACCAGTTCAAATGAAGAAATAAAAAATACACACATGAAGAGCTGATTATCTGTCTGAGGAGACGGGGAGTGGCGCTTTTGTGTGACTTGAAGTGCGACGTTCAATGAAGTGCGAAGTGACGATCAGCCTTATCATTACCGTCTGCACTGAACAGCTTCTGCGGCTCCACTCGCCATTTTCTCTCTCCTGTATATATTTTTCATAAGCTGTATACCTTTGTGGGTCTCATGACGTCATTCCATCTCGTTTTCATTTTCTTTGGAGTGCGTTTAATACATCGTTCAATTTAAATATCCCCACGGCTTATAGGCGGTATTATAATTTAATGAGTAATCCTCATTAATAATTCAGGAATCCTCAGCAGATATTTAACTGAGGCCCGAATTTTGTTTAGACTTATTTTTATTTGTTTCCAATGGTGAATCTTTTCCTTCAACTGATGGCTAAAATCTGACAGTTCCGTTCCCACCTACTGCGTTTCCGGAGCTGAGCCTCAGCCTGGCGCTGCGCCTGCAGAGCTGCGCTGCGCTGGATGCGTAGGAGCCGCTGCTCTGCGGATGCTAATTGCTACGTGCGCTGTTAAACATTTAGCCGCAGGTTTCTTAATAGCATCGCTTTGTCTTCCCTTATATTGTGAAGATGTTAGTCACTGAACTCCACCACACGTTGGGAAGACGCAATTCTGTTTTTGGTTTTGGTTTAGAATAAAGTGGACCTTTGTATTACAACTGTAAATGGTTTAGGCTACTGGTGAAAGAAGAACCAAAGTAAAACTACTGCACTGTACTCAAATACAAGTAAAAGTAGCTACTTAAAAATTCTTACTTACTTGCAGCTAAGTATTATAAGCAAATGTAGGCTACATCAAGTATCATAACAATGCACAAGAATGGCCCCTGTGACTGTTATATCTCATAGCCTATATATTATTATA